CAGAATTTTTATTTCTGCAGCCTAGGAATCAAGAAATTGTAGTTTTTGAGCTTGCCATGCCTCTAATTTACTGAGTGTGTTTTATGTTCAGGCAGTCTGTGCTTCGGTTTTCTCTAGTTGAAATGTAGGTAAAATCATTCTTCTGTAGAGTTACATAATTTCCGGAAATGTTAAAGCCAAGGGGCAAGAGCCAAGGTGGTTTTAACTTGATTAAAATTGAAATGTTGCAATGTTGCCTTCTAACTTTGCCCTTCTATCATCTGTTAATTTGTCCTTGATTCTGGAACTTTTGGAACAAATGCAAGTTCAACAGATATTTTTTGAACATCCTTTCAGTACCAGGTTCCATGTTCAGTGCTGGTAGTGCAACTGTGATCATGACAAAGACCCTGCCCTCAGAAACCTTTGGTCTTGTGGGGTGACCCCTTCTCTGTTCTGTCCTAGAATTGCCCAACCAGCCCCATTTTTACTGATCATGCCTTCTTTATTCATTCATTCAGCAAATATTTGTGAAGCACATATTAAGTTCTACATATTGTGCTGAGTGCCAACATACAGTGATGAGGAAAAGAGATAGGCCCTACCCTCAAGAAGCTTCCAGTCCCCACTGTGAATTGTTCTCCTGGAAACATCTCCTCCCTCTACATTCCCTCAACACCTAATTCATGCCTCTTCCTAGCATTTGCCTCATGGAACTTGTAATACATATCTTTGTCTCCTTTTAAGCCATAAACACCTTGAAGGCAACAATCTCAACTTTCTCTCCTGGGTACCTTGCACTCCCTAGTGTCTAACACATAGGAGAGCCCAATAAATGTTTTTGAATGAATAAATAAGTGCATGAATTTACAAATTAACGAATCTATGGAGCCAGAGACCAGTCTGCCCTGACCTGCCATCCCATGTCTCTTGGATGAGGAAGTTAGTGATCCATCATCTGTTAGTACTAAAACACTCCTTATGATTTCAAGGACCTTCTAAACATAAAACCAGCTGGTACATGGGTCATTTCTTCCTCCAAATATATTTTCCATTGAGATAAAGAACAAATACTAGCTTCAGCTTGTGTTTACAATATTTTTTTGCAAGAAGGCAAACACTATTATATGATTTAAATGAAATGAACTTATAGTAAGGAAAGCAAATGAGTTTACTTGTGACTCTTGGATAGATGTTGTTAATATAAGAAGAAATATAATAACAATAGCTTAAACAAGCTAGAAGCTTTTTTTATACGTCACGTAAAAGTCCAGAAACAGTCTGATACAAATGTTCTGCTCCATGAAACAGTCAGCTCATGGCACCATCATTCCCTAAGATATGGCTCATGGTTCAAGATGGGCTCCAGCTGTCACATATACCTCCATGCCTCAGAATGAAGGAAGAGGGTATGAAGAAGGGACAAAGGACAAACACTCTTTCTCAGGCAGTTTCTTGGAGGCTACCACAGAGCATATCAGCTTACATCCAACTGGCCAAAACTTAGTCATATGACAACACATAATTATAAAGGAAGTTGAGGAAAGTGGTTTTTATTTTAGATAACGATTTATCCAGCTAAAAACTATTTTAGTGTGTCATAAAAGGAGTACAGATATGACGGATACAATTAGACGTCTCTACTGCAGATACTGAAACTGAAGTGTTAGTGATTATTCAAGAACTTTAGTATTCTAATTACTGCAAACTGAAGTCACAATGATGAACTCCAATTGTTAATCCACCATGCTATGATCACACTTGGTACTGGTCCGATTGTCACTATCAATGACAGAAGCAGTGAGATAGAAGGAAAAGAAAGCTTTTGCAAAAAAGAAATGGGGGGGCGGTGGCAAGGGGAATCTGGCTAAGGCAGTGACAACAGCAATGGAAAGGGGATGGCAGGGTGGAGAGAGATGGTAAAATCAACAGGACAAAGTGATTGGATATTGGAGAAAAGGGAGAATGAGGATCTAGAATGATTCAGCTTTAAAGTAAATTAGACCCTAGTAATTGGACTAAAAAGGGTGGTTTGGAGACTGCATTAGACTGATGGAGTTAACGGCTGCAAATTGACCTGAAATCTCCCCTTGATCTATTACTTCTTGCCATGAATTTTCTTTTGAATGGACTAATGAAGTTAATAAACTTCTCCAAGTAGTTAATCTTTCACAGGAAAAGTTTAACAGTTCTTAGTGACCTACCTTAACCAGTCATAATGTTCCCTCTCCTAATTCAGCACACTACTTGCAACTCCTTAAAATTCTGAGTTCTTGAGGCATTCTTAATTCAAGTGCCAGAATTTCTCACTTGAGTAAGCTGAAAGTGGAGTTGGTACTGCCTTCTTTACAGTTGTGAAATTTAAAATACATTAGATGTTTTAAAGGACCTGACGCAATGCCTGGTTCAATAAATGCTAGTTTCTGTCTTCTTCCAAAGTGCTTTCTTTTTTATGCATTGACTCAACAGACATTTACTTAGCAGTTACTATTTCAAGACACTGGGCTAAGTGCTGAGGAGCACAGCTGAATTCAGTCATTGAAACCAAAGTTATGATATTCTTTTTCACTTCTGAATGTTGAGGTAAATTCTGATCCTCTACACGAGTGTACTTGCCCCTGTACTGGGGGTTTCTCAGGCTAGGGAACTGCATATGTTTGTTATCTTTGTATTCTCAGATCTTAGCACATGTACTTATGAATGCACAACCAAGAAATGAAGCCCAAAATCTAAATACAGGACCAGAGTCTGAAAACTAGGATAGCCATGGGTGTCCAGACATTGTTGGAGACAATTCTAGGAATGTTGAGTGTCTGCTGGGGTGCTCCTTCCATATGGCGCCGAGTACCCTCTGCTAGAATAGCTGATAGAGGAGGAGGTAGGGTTCCTAAAGGGCAAGAGATAGCATACGACAATGATTAAGGGTTTGGGCTCTAGAATCAGACATTTATACATGTAATTATAATAAAGTGTGAAAAATCTCCCAAGAGGAGAACTCCAAGATCCAAGATGTAAAAGATTATAACAGATTAGACCTGCCTAGTCTGAGGGTCCAGATAAGACCTCCTTGAAGAGTCCTATAAGTTGCTCACTGTATAGCTGAGGGGTTAGTATGAGTGGAAATCCAGCCTGTGCTCCACTCCCAAGCTGGATGCCTTAGTACAAGGCTGTGTCTACCCCACAGGAGATTTTTTTCCATTCACATAAAGACCCCACAGTTTGGCAAGCTATGCCTCATGGTTATAAGCATCGGAAAGCTAAAAGATAAGTAGATGTTTTCCAGGCAAGGTTTAGGCCAGAGGGACCAATGAGGGGGAACAGCATGTGTGAGGTCTGGGGATTTTACGAAGGGTCTGGTGTAATTGAGGAACTGAAAGAATTTTAGTATGGCTGGAGTGTAGAGTTCAAAGAGAAGACCACCAAGAGTGAGGCTGGAAAGGTATTCATTACAGCTAGCATTTTCTGTGAGTTTACTAGTTACGCTATGTTAATGGCTCTACATGCATTATTTTAATGAGATCACAGAAAGTGACTTACCAAAGTCATATGTTAGAAAACAGTGAAACTATGATTCAAAGCCAGTTTTAACTTGAGCCTGTGCTCCAAACCATGTGTTCCATGACATCCAAAGATCTGCAAAGGCAGGTTGCAAAGGGATAAAACCGGAGGCAAGAATGCTTATTAGGGAATAGTTGCAGAAATCCCGGTATGAAATGCTGGCAGACTTAAGATGGCCTTGGAAATGGAAGGGAGTAGATGGATTCCAGAGATTTAGGAAGGAGAATCTACAGGACTTGGTGGTTGTTTGAATATGAAAGGCAATGATGAGGAGAGAGGGGTGGAGGCTAGGATGACTCTTCATTTTGTGTCTTTGTGGATGGTACGTCATTTGCTGAGATTAAAAAACAAGCAGCAACAAATCTGGGAGGAAGATGAGTTTAGAGCCTGTCAAGTTGGAAGCACCTGTGGGACATCCAGGTAGAGATGACCAGTTGACAGTTCAGGGCTGGTCCTGAACCTCAGGAGAAGCTGTATAGTTACCCAACATCAACGTATCATTGGTAATTGACTCACCGAGAGGGTGAGATAGAGAGCAAAGAGTTCCTACTAGGATAATCATGCTAAAGTAGAAACTTTTCATTAAATCTAGTGGTCGAGTCTTATAACATAATCTGAGCTTTGATTTATCTGCGTCCTTTTACAAGAACTATTCCTCAAAGGTTTATGGAGTGTCCTATTACAAACTGAAACCAGATATCTGTGATAAAGCGGTACAAAAAAGGGAAGCCACCATAAGAAAGAAAGCATAAAGAATAAATGGCCTTTTCTGACATTTTTGTTTGATTTAAAGCCAGATTTAAACTTGAGTATGACTCATTTTATATTTTCTATAAGAACATAGGTGGTGAATAAAATATTATTTATATTATACTAATGCAAGAAACTGCTTCTACTAGGAAAATTCTATGCATTATTCACGCAGAAAAATGAATGGATTAAAATCCAGCAATAACATCAGTGGGGTCCCTAGCTTATCAATGACCTCTTTAAAATGTGGCCTCACAATTGAACATAGTCCTTCTCCAATATGGGCAACTGACGTTTTCTGTATCTTACATGAAGTACTAAAAAAACATAGTCTAAGACTCTTAAGTCATGCTGTCTCCTCCTGCTACCCCTCAACCTCTCTAAATGGAAATTCTAAGCTACCTCAGTTATAGTCATCATAACAAGATGGGATTTAGGCTTAGCTGAATTCATTTTGTCTCTCTTTTCTTTTAGAAAGCATCACAGTCTTCACATGATGTGGCTTCTAAAGACTCAAGGACCACCCACCTTACCAGTCTGCAATGGCAAAGGCAGAAATGGATATTTAAACACCACAGCTTCCATTCTGTTATTAATCACTCTGTAGACATGTGCCACCACTACAGGGAGTGAACTGCACCAAGGGGGAAAAGTTCCAGGGGCCCCCGAACCATCAGCACTCTTGTTTCTCCCCCTGGAGAGAAAGCAGAACTATGGCATTTCATAGCTGCTGTTTGATCCTCTTGGCAATTACCTGGTGCACTTCTGCCTATGGGCCTGACCAACGAGCTCAGAAGAAAGGGGACATTATCCTCGGGGGGCTCTTTCCTATTCATTTTGGAGTAGCAGCCAAAGATCAAGATCTAAAGTCAAGGCCAGAGTCTGTGGAATGTATCAGGTAAAGAAAGGAGCCAAGTCAGAGAGTCTCTTCTCTTCTGGTGGTTGGAGAAAAGCTGTATCAAACCCAAAATAATTTTTTTTCAAACTTGGTTTTATTTTTTTCAAAAATGGTGAGTGGTAGTCATGCTGAAATTATTCCATGACCCTCTTTAAAAGAAAGTTTTCAAAAAGTAAAATGTCAAATATACTGAATAGAAAAATCCATGGCCTGTTTGGAGTATGTGCCAGTCACTTGGTAACTGAGTTGTCATTGTTCATATCTGGCGGCAGTGTTGCTGAATGGAAGACTAAGTACCTAGAAGGCAATTTATTATAGGTCTTGCAAACCTGAGTAGTAACATCTCCCATTTACCTTAAGTGCCCCAAAGGTCAATAATACTTGAGTGTTAGCTGCCTTATTCTCATTTTTTTTTTTAAAAGGATTTTAAAGTTGAAAGAAACCTCAGTGGCTGGCATGACCCAGGCATCTACAAAATGCAGTCTATAGTATTTTGGAAGCCCTTCGTATAGAAGGCTGAAATCCTCTTGTTTAACACAGAATATACCTAACACTGATGGGAGAAACCACAGAATCCATCTAAATCTCTCACTGAACTCTTTCTTCAGCCATGTGAAGACAGCTAACTTATCCCATTGAATCACTTCTTTTCCAGGCCTGAATCTCAGTTTTCTGAACAATTACTTCATGACTTGATTTCCCTCCATTTGAGGCTCCCTAATTTATCATGACTCTAGTAGAATATGGCACCTAGAATTAGGCAGTTCCTTCAAACAAAATCTGACTTCCACAGAGTAGAATGGACTGTATATCACCTCCCTTCACAAGGATATCAGAGACCGTGACTGCACCCCAAGTCTTTACCCAACTTCTAAGAGAAAATAACACTTTCTCTCTAAGACTTGCAATGTTCAGAAGGGATCCAGCACTCTTCCATGGTCTCCCTGATTGCTGGAAAATGAAAATGAAAACTAGAATTGCTCCAACAAAACTGGATTTCTGTTCATGTTCTAATGAGAGCTTTAAAATTAGATAGCATTTTCACATTTTTCTCATAAATACAGAAAAACTAAGTACAGAATTTCAACTATGCTGATCATATTCTTCATATACCCATTTGGACAAATATCTTCTTTGTTGTAACCTGCTGACCAGAGTTGTGCGTGTGCCATGTACATACCTAAGGTTAAGCAAAAAGCCCTGGAATACTATATTTTCTAAATTATATTAAAGAAAGATAGTAAAATCAGTTTAGCAGTATAAATGTTTTATGTAAAGAAAAATTCTATAATCTCTCTTAACTTAAAACTTAACTTTTAACTTAAGGTTTAAAACAAATAACTAAACAACAACAAAAAAATGATGGAAACATAAAGAAAATGACTAAGAGAAAAGGTCACATTAAAGTGAAGGGGAATAAATTAGGAATCTTGGGGCACCTGGGTGGGCTCAGTTTGTTAAGTGTCTGACTTCGGCTCAGGTCCTGATCTCACAGTCATGAATTCGAGCCCCACATTGGGCTCTCTGCTGTCAGTGCAGAGCCCACTTCAGATCCTCTGTCTCCCTCTCTCTCTGCATTTCTCTGCCCCTCTTTGCATGCATTCTCTCTCTCAAAAATAAATAAACATTTAAAAACTAAATACATAAAAATAAAAGTTTGGAACCTAAACAACACAGTGGAGTACAGCAAATATTTCTTACCTCCTGCCATTGAGTTCAAGTAGTATAACCTACCATATAAAGAGAGAACCTGTGGAGTTGTTACATTTCCTCCTTTGGACGTTGATACACTGATTTAGCATACTTAACTAGCCCTCACTCTGAGCTAAATCTTGGGAGAGTGAAAACTATGTAACTGACCCTACTTCTCTTTGTTTAATTTGCTCGATGTTTATTTAAAATAATGTTCTTTGAAAAGCAATGCATACTCATTTTTTAAAACAGAATATATAAATAAACCAAAAGCCCACGATTTTAAAAGCCATTGCTCCACCACCCAGAAATAATCACTATTTGTAAACAGCCTTCCTACATGTTTGTTTGTTTGTTTGTTTGTTTACAAAGATGAGCTCTATCATCTCCCTTTCCCCTTTGACCTCCAGTAATGTCATAATCTAAATTTGTGAGTCTGCAAATCTGAGGTTAGTTTTAGGCTCCTACATATTAAAATCCTAATCTTATTTATATTTTCTGTAGTCCTTTTTAAAAAATATCTGTATTATATTTAATACTTTAGATCAGCAACTTCAAACTTTTTGCTGGATGAAGCAGATACAAATTATTCATTCTATTACGAATAACAATCTTTGCTACCATTGCTCCCTCTGTGTAAGGCACCAGGCTGAGAATTTTACATAATTATCTCATGTTCACAGCTATCATATGAGGTAGGCATTGTCCCCATTTTACAGAGAGTGCTCTGAGTCTCAAAGAACACATCATGAAAACAAAGAATAACACAGCCATGATTCAAACCGAGCTTTGCCCAGTCCCTACTCTTAAGTGGTTGACCAGAAAGCCTCCCATTTTCTTCCATTTCTTCTTTCTTGCAGGTATAATTTCCGCGGGTTTCGCTGGTTACAAGCAATGATATTTGCCATCGAGGAAATAAACAGCAGCCCAGTCCTTCTTCCCAACATGACACTGGGATACAGGATATTTGACACTTGCAACACTGTTTCTAAAGCCTTGGAGGCCACTCTGAGTTTTGTGGCACAAAATAAAATTGATTCTCTGAACCTCGACGAGTTCTGCAACTGCTCAGAGCATATCCCCTCTACTATCGCTGTGGTGGGAGCAACTGGTTCGGGCATCTCCACAGCGGTGGCAAACCTGCTGGGCCTCTTCTATATTCCCCAGGTACACATAACTTCTTATATGGGGCAATGCGGGCAGGGATCAGGACTCGAGTGACCTCCATGCCCAGTGTCCATACAGCTTGCTATTTTCCTATCTCTGGCTTTACACTGACACCAAAAAAAAACCCTTCTAATTAGTAGGGGCACTGTATCATGACCATTTGGGATTTCTGAGACCCCAATATCAACCATGTCCACTAAACCTTCACAACTCTTCCAAAATTCTTTTAAACATACCTTGTGTAAAACTTTGCCTTTTTTGCCAGGTATTTATTTTCCATTCCATTCCTTTAGTAAATGACCATTCTTCTGCCTTTACTAAAAGGAATGAGGCCATATGATGTAAACTCACCTTTCAAACTCAAAATCTGTCCCTAATCCTATTCCTTTAAAATTCTGCCTCTCTAACTTCTGGCCTAAAGTTTAGCTCAGGGGGAAGCAGAGTATATTTTCTCACAGAACAAGAACTTAATCATTGTCTTGCACATTCCAGAATGGAAAATATTCTATTTCGTTCAACAATATTTATAGAGCACATATGAACAAATAGTGTCCACCCTGCAGGAACTCACCCTAGATGAGGAGATGTCTGCATTTTCAAATGCTAACAATTCACTGAAACAAGTGCTTTAATAAACATTTGTTCAAAGTTGCATATTTTCCCCCTATGGAGCAAATCTTTTTTCATGTTAATATTTATAGATCTATGACATCATTTTATAATAGTGAAAAGTTGGAAACAACCTAAATGTCCGTGGATGAGAGAATCAGCTCAATTGTAATACATCCTTTACATCAATTTTAAAATTATAGATCATGCTTTAAATTTATTTTTTTCAATGTCTAATATTTAAAATTTGTTAAGAGTACCTTTGATAAATTCACATTTATATGTTGGGAGGTCCCCATTTCTTTGGTGATAGACATTATCCTTTTATATTCATGTGGCAACTGAAAAAGACTTGTCATCATTTCCCGAATCCTTACTTCAGGGAATTAAAGGTGTTTCCCATGGGGAAGCCCTGGCTTTATAACTTTTGCACAAAATGATCTAATAATGGTCGGTAAATGTGTTGGGTAAGATGCAAATATGCACCTTATAAATTTTGCATATTGTACAGTATTTTTTTAATTCACAGTGAAAGTAAGTTTTTGTGGCCAAGAGGCACAAGGTATAATTGTGGGTAAGGTAAATAAAGAATATAAATGTAAAGGTTTTAATTCTTTATGGTCTGGATGAAAGACAAGGTTAAGCTAAATTTGAATTATTAAAGTGTCATGAAGACTATAATTCTCAGTCAAAACAATGTAAGTATATCTACAGTAGTGTTTCTCTTCCATGACTGCGTGTTAGAATCACATGGGGAGCCTTGAAAACCAATATCTGGGCTTCACACCGTAGAGATCCTGGTTTAATTGACATGAGATGCAGCCTGGGCATCAGGAGTTTTGAAAGCTCCCAAGGTGATCCTAATGTGCACCAGAACTGGGAGCCACTGCTCTGCAGGGTAGGGGCAGAGGCCAAGGGTATTTCTTATGCTACTCATGCCACCAAGTGGATGCAACAAGCAGACCAGCTAGAAAAGTTCTGGACAGAAGTTTTCTGACTCATTCATGAAATTCTCCCCTCTCACAATATAAGAAGGTTTTGTGTATCTTTAAGAGTTGTTTTTTTTTCTTTGTGGGGAGAACAGGTAGTGAAGTAGTATTTACAGTTTCTTTTTTAAAAACTAGACAAATATTATAAATGCATTCTTTTTTTTTTTTTTTCAACGTTTATTTATTTTTGGGACAGAGAGAGACAGAGCATGAACGGGGGAGGGGCAGAGAGAGAGGGAGACACAGAATCGGAAACAGGCTCCAGGCTCTGAGCCATCAGCCCAGAGCCCGACGTGGGGCTCGAACTCACGGACCGCGAGATCGTGACCTGGCTGAAGTCGGACGCTTAACCGACTGCGCCACCCAGGCGCCCCTATAAATGCATTCTTTAAGAAAAACATATTCATAGTAGATATATTTGTAATTTTAATCCTTTTAAAACCCTTTTCAACTCATTTTTCAAAAAGAAGAAGTAAACATTAATGGATAAATTTACAAAATGCCTGAGTAGGTTTTTCATTTGCAAAAATCTGACAGAAGCCTGTTGTTTGGGTCTGCAAGTAGAGCTCTGTGGAAACAACAACATCTCAATAAATTACTTAATCTAACTACCTACACCTCATGATCTCTCATAATAGAGCAAGAAGGGGCTTGCTGATAAAAGAAAAAACTGTCAATTTTATATTGTAACTTCCAAAATCAAAGCTCTTGTCAGAAAAAATCATGCTCTTTAGCAAAGTTGGTCGTGGCCTTTCATACACCAATGTCTTTCATGTTTTTGATGTAGAAACTATTCATTGGTAAGAAGAAATATATTGGAAAATTCGTTTTAAAACACTAAACATAGAAAACTAATTGTTTCAATGGGTGAGAAATATTAAAGACATTCCCCCCAATTTTTAAACTCAGTTTCCTTTAAAATCTCTCTAGAAAACTAGAGAAAAGAAATATTAAACACTCCTTCATTAACAAGAGGGAGACTAACTGGAGACTGGAGGAGAGAACCTAGACAGACTAGGAAAGAGGAACCCCTTGGGGCTCCTCTGAAGAGCCTTAGGTTTATCACCCACAGAGAATTGCATTCCTTCCAGAAGTGAGTCATGGACATAGTGTTCATCATAGTAAAGGGGAAGCTAAATGTTTAGATCAGAACCTGGATATAACAGGAAGAAGATGTGTACATGGATATATGATAACCAATGAGGCATCACAAAGGAAGTAGGAGCAACTTTGCAACAGCGTGTAAAGACTCTCCTTGAAAGGGTAAGTAGATTCTACTATTATTGGGTTGACTTTATGGCCAGACCCATTTCTGAAAGTGGCATTGTGAAGAATCACCCACTGGGAATTAGAATGCTCCCCCAAAGACTGACTGATGCTTGAGTGCTCACACTGGAGAGGAACATATATTGGTTGTCTTCATCCTTTCATCCCATCTGCAATGAACAGCATGTTTGATAAATTAATGAATGCTCAAAAAGCCAACCCCACAGAGCCTTGAGGTTCATCTGGCACCTCATTCACTCATTCATCCTATGTTCTTTCCAGGTCAGCTACGCCTCCTCCAGCAGACTCCTCAGCAACAAAAATCAGTTCAAGTCCTTTCTCCGTACCATCCCCAATGATGAACACCAGGCCACTGCCATGGCAGACATTATCGAGTATTTCCGCTGGAACTGGGTGGGCACAATTGCTGCTGATGATGACTACGGCCGGCCAGGGATTGAGAAGTTTCGAGAGGAAGCTGAGGAGAGGGACATCTGCATCGACTTCAGTGAACTCATCTCCCAGTATTCTGATGAAGAAGAGATCCAGCAAGTGGTGGAGGTGATCCAGAATTCCACAGCCAAAGTCATTGTTGTTTTCTCTAGTGGCCCAGACCTTGAACCCCTTATCAAGGAGATTGTCCGGCGTAATATCACAGGGAGGATCTGGCTGGCCAGCGAGGCCTGGGCCAGCTCTTCCTTGATTGCCATGCCCGAGTACTTCCATGTGGTTGGAGGCACCATTGGATTCGCTCTGAAGGCTGGACAGATCCCAGGTTTCCGGGAATTCCTGCAGAAAGTCCATCCCAGAAAGTCTGTCCACAATGGTTTTGCCAAGGAGTTTTGGGAAGAAACCTTTAACTGCCACCTCCAAGAAGGTGCTAAAGGACCTTTAGCACTGGACACTTTCCTGAGAGGTCATGAAGAAGGTGGTGGCAGGATAAGCAATAGCTCCACTGCCTTGCGACCTCTCTGTACAGGGGACGAGAACATCAGCAGCGTGGAGACCCCTTACATGGATTATACACATTTACGGATATCCTACAATGTCTACTTAGCGGTCTATTCCATTGCTCATGCCCTGCAAGATATATATACATGCTTACCTGGAAGAGGGCTCTTCACCAATGGTTCCTGCGCAGATATCAAGAAGGTTGAGGCTTGGCAGGTACATATTTCACTTAGATAGCAGTTCACTGTGTAGCAGAATTAGGCTGACCCAGGCAAGACAGATAAAGTGGTCACCTCAAAAAGACAGTATCTAAATGATGTTGCTATACATAGCTTTGGGTTCAAATTGCCTTTTCAAACATTCTAAGTAACTGACTTCTGCAAAATTGATAGTAATTTAATTTGATTATCTGTTTAAAGCCTTGGTTCAACTCTTCTTTAGTCCAGGGGTTCAGAATACCTAAAGTATGGCCTCTAAGAGCTTTTAAAATTTTTTTTTAATGTTTATTTATTATTAAGAGACAGAGAGACACAGAGCGTGAGCAAGGGAGGGGTAGAGAGAGGGGGAGACACAGAATCTGAAGTAGGCTCCAGGCTCTGAGATGTCAGCACAGATCCCAACGCAGGGCTCAAACCCACAAACTGTGAGATCATGACCTGAGCCAAAGTCGGTTGCCTAACCAACTGAGCCACCCAGGTGCCCCAGCCCCTAAGAGCTTTTAAATATCCTGGAACGGATTTAATACTATGTATTAAATGGAGTACATGGAGTATTTTTACAATTATGGTAAATTACAGATATTGTCCTCTTATAACAAGTATTAGTTTAGTACCTATTAAATTCCATATGCTAGTGTCATCACATTTAGCCACTACTTTTACCAAAATATTATTCACAATATAATGTGATGGACCACCCAACAGGCCAACTAAGCTTAGGACACAAGCAAATCAAGGGCACAGGAAAAAAAAAAACAAAAAAACAAAACAAAAAAAACACCTCTCCTTACAAAGATTTGATATTGGATATTTCAAAAATGAACACTGAAGTAGTTATCATAGAAAATAACTGGAACTTAGGTGGAATTCCTACACTCATTTTAGACTTTAGTCTTGTTTTGTATTTTTGAATTGAATTGCACATAGAAGAGACATCATAATTTTTCTCATTTCATAAAATTTCTGAAGATAAAAGTCTGGTCTGACTTAAATCCTACATAGTTGTTCGTGTCTTGTGTAGTTACCTTGATTTTTCAATCAAACCTTGTTTTATACGGCTTTTATTTTTTCCTCAGTTCCAGACTGACCTATCAGAGAGTGCATGATTATAGAGGGAGGGGAGAGGAGACATTCCTGAACATGAGCTGAATGACCCAGTCTCCAGCTTCAGCTCCAGCTTACCCATAAATTAGCTGCATCATCCCTGGCAAGCCACTGTTCTAAGTCAGTCTCTTCATCTGTAAAATGGCCTCAATATCTAGCCCACTTTCTGCCCAAGGTTCTTTTAAAGATGAGATGTGATGACATATGTGAAAGCAATTTATAAACTTTCAAGTTCTAAACAGATGATGATTATTATAGTAGCATTTCAGTATGCTTCTAATTAGGCAACCAGGTTAAAAATGATAACTACAACAGCTGTGTATGTAGAACCCTACCACCACAGACCCTTGGGAAAAGGTATAAAGAAACAAAGAATATACAACCTATGTCAGTCATTTTATTTTTTTTATTTTTT